AAATCCATAAATGCAATGAAAAATTCCTACCTTTATTAATACTGTTCAATATTGTTCAATGTAAACACTTGATCTACACACCCTACCCCCCTCGAAGCCCCCTTGCTCATCCCCAATTCTACAAATTTTTCTTACCTCCAATTCTTTCAATTATAACCCCACCCTAACTTTTTTTGGATACTCAGTAACTTTTCCTCTATAATTTTTACAAACCTTTTTTCCCCCTTTCCCTTTATATAAGGGACTAAAGCCTCTGCCAATCCCCAGGGCCTTTTCCCCCTTTTTTATACATTTATTAAACAAAATACCAACCCCTCCAACACTACATCCCCCCTGCTTTTAACTTTCTGTCATGATCCCATCAGTTCCAGCTGCTTTTCCCCCTTTCATTCTACGTAATGCCTCACGTACCTCCACCACACTTACATTCTGCTCTTCTTCACTCCTAAAAGATGGTATACCTCCCTGGCCAGTGCATGAAATTACCGCCTCCCTTTCTTCCTCAACATTTAAAAGTTCCTCAAAATATTCTCGCCATCTACCTAATACCTCCCTCTCCCCATCTACTAACTCCCCTACTCTGTTTTTAACTGACAAATCCATGCTTTCCCTAGGCTTTCTTAACTTGTTTAACTCACTCCAAATTTTTTTCTTATTTTCATTAAAATTTCTTGACAGTGCCTCTCCCACTCTTTCATCTGCTCTCCTTTTGCACTCTCTCACCACTCTCTTCACCTTTCTTTTACTCTCCATATACTCTGCTCTTCTTATATCACTTCTGCTTTGTAAAAACCTCTTGTAAGCTACCTTTTTCTCTTGTATCACACCCTTTACTTCATCATTCCACCAATCACTCCTCTTTCCTCCTGCCCCCACCCTCCTATAACCGCTAACTTCTGCCCCACATTCTAATACTGCATTTTTAAAACTATTCCAACCCTCTTCAACCCCCCCCACTACTCATCTTTGCACTAGCCCACCTTTCTGCCAATATTCGCTTATATCTCGCCCGAACTTCCTCCTCCCTTAGTTTATACACTTTCACCTCCCTCTTACTTGTTGTTGCCACCTTCCTCTTTTCCCATCTACCTCTTACTCTAACTGTAGCTACAACTAAATAATGATCAGATATATCAGTTGCCCCTCTATAAACATGTACATCATGGAGCCTACCCATCAACCTTTTATCCACCAATACATAATCTAACAAACTATTTTCATTACGTGCTACATCATACCTTGTATATTTATTTGTCCTCTTTTTCATAAAATATGTATTACTTATTACCAAATTTCTTTCTACACATAGCTCAATTAAAGGCTCCCCATTTACATTTACCCCTGGCACCCCAAATTTACCTACTACTCCCTCCATAACATTTTTACCCACTTTAGCATTGAAATCCCCAACCACCATTACTCTCACACTTGATTCAAAACTCCCCACGCATTCACTCAACATTTCCCAGAATCTCTCTCTCTCCTCTACACTTCTCTCTTCTCCAGGTGCATACACGCTTACTATAACCCACTTTTCACATCCAATCTTTATTTTACTCCACATAATCCTTGAATTTATACATTTGTAGTCCCTCTTTTCCTGCCATAGCTTATCCTTCAACATTATTGCTACTCCTTCTTTAGCTCTAACTCTATTTGAAACCCCTGATCCCATTTATTCCTCTCCATTGAAACTCTCCGACCCCTTCAGCTTTGTTTCACTTAAAGCCAGGACATCCAGTTTCTTCTCGTTCATAACATCCACAATCATCTCTTTCTTATCATTTGCACAACATCCACGCACATTCAGACTTCCCACTTTGACAATTTTCTTCTTATTCTTTTTAGTAATCTTTACAGGAAAAGGGGTTACTAGCCCATTGTTCCCAGGCATTTTAGTTGACTTTTACAACACGCATGGCTTACGGAGGAAAGATTCTTATTCCACTTCCCCATGGATATAAAAGGAAAAGTAATAAGACCAAGAACTATTAAGATAAAATCAAAGAAAACTCAGATGAGTGTGTATAAATAAATAAAGTATATACGTATAAAAATACACAATAAATCTCTCCAAACTGCCAATATCCTAAACCCCTCCTTTAGAGTGCAGGCATTGTACTTCCCATTTCCAGGACTCAAGTATGCCCCTTACCAAGATAAGGTGCCATCATGCTTCTCACTACATCACCTAAGATACCCAATAACATCCTGGTATCTTTCAATGTTTTACTTCCTGTGTATACAACAATATCCAATACCAGGCCACTGTCACAGTCACAGAGTACAAACAGTTTTATACCAAAGCGTTTCCTCTTGCTCGGTATATACTGTTTGAATGACAGTCTACCTTTGAACAAAATCAAAGATTCGTCAAGTACAAGATTCTTGAATAGATAAAAGTACATGTTGAATTTTTCTTTCAGATACATAAAAACATTTCTAATCTTGTATAACCTGTCACTTCTGTCAGGCTTGGTTTTGTCAGACAAGTGCAACATACATAACAGTAAGATAAACCTGTTCACTGGGATGATTTCACTGAAGACCGGGGTAGAAGTTAGCCGATATGTGGACTAGTATGCTTTTATATTATGCTTATAGACATGAGGCATAAGCATTATTGTTGCAAAAAGCAAATACATACATTTCTGCAACAGTCGTCTCTTTCCACCGGTGTAGTCTTGACTGTGGTGATATCATCGTATTTGCCATGGTGTACTCAAAATACTTGTTACTTTCCCTGACAATAGTTTCCATCAAGGGCTGCTCAAAAAATAGTTCAAAAAATTCCAGTTCATTGGCAGTGGTTCCAAGGGGACAAGTAGGTAGAATTCCAATTTGAGAGTCATCAAAGTGGTGGGGCTTGGGAACAAAATTGGGATTTAGCTGCCAATCCCAGATACGGTTTGCTGGTGGATACTGGACATCATAGGCTGGTTGTGCTGGTAGTTGTGGTTGTGGTGGGCTGGTGGCTGACGCTCCACTTTGTCCTTGAACTGAGGAGTCAGCAGCGTGGGTCCCAGCCTGGGCTGGTGAGTCAAGCATGGCCGTGGCACTACCATCACCACTACCACCACTTACTGATGCCTGTGGTCTATCCATGCCAAGTGTAGCCACATCATCCTCACTTTCACTGTCTATTCCTGGTGTAGGGCCACGGGATGTACTCCGTCCCCTGGGCACTGCATAGGGAACACTACCCGAGTGCATGCGGCGGCGTATATACCGATGCTTCACTGGTGAATATGTTTCCTCACTATCACTACTCGAATGGTCGTCAAGAGCAATAAAAATCACAATCCACGTCACTATCATCATCATTACTGAAGTCAGAGGCCTGGCCACGCGAAAATAATAGTTTTCTCTTGCGATGAGGTACAACTGACCGTGACTGAGGAGTGCCCACACCAGAGGTAGAAGGTTGACGATCGTCAGGGTTTTCTGCACTATTATCGATAACCTGGTCATTCCTTTCGGTCACTAACTGATCAAAGCCAAAGAATTCGTCTTCATTTCCACTTCCATCAGAGTCAGAACTATCAGACAGGAAGAGGAGAGTCCCAATTTTCCTTGGAGTGAGAGCTGCCTTGCGACGAGGCATGGTGAACAAAGGTAACTGAGCCGGCATTCCCACAATGCTATGCGGGTGCCTAGAATTTTTGTTTATGGCGTACACACACCACGCAGAGCCGTTCTTTCACATGTAGGCCTACCAGCATTTTCGCGCTAAATTTGACGCCGCTAGAATTTTGGCATAGATCTACGGTTTGGACCCTAAACATAAACCCATAGATCTACGGCACAGACCCTGAAAGGATTAAAGAAACATTTTGCCACACAGTGGCTTCATCAGTCTTACACAAAGCAGGAAGGTACAAGGAGAGGAGGAGTCTTCAACTTGTCAGTTCATATAACCATTTATCACATCTGTCAGACACTGCATCATCATGGGACCTTGATACAAAGAATTCTTCAAAATTTGTCCAATCTTTGGACGAAGACCTACTTAGACTAGTGGATGGTTCCACTATGACCCCGCCTCCTGCTTTGCCTCCCCTAACTACAGTATATAAGCCACTGCTATGGCCCTGTGCTGTACCTTCTGCAAGACTGATGGACTGAATACATCAACTCCAGGCTGAGGGAGATTACCTCAAACTCCTCCTCTCCTTATACCTTCCTGCACTGTATAAGACTAATGAAGGCACTGTGTGGCAAAATGTTTCTTCAATAAAGATTCCCATATGTTGCTTAAGTGTTTCAATTCTTCAATTACTTTGGAGATGAAACTTAAGAGATAATTACCCAGCATGAAAGTGGCAAGTCTGTAACTTGTGTTCATTTATTTACTTTTCAATACTGGTGTTTAGTTAGTTACATTAACTATTTGTTTACTTACTTATTCAGTGACAGTAGTTATTTATTTACTTATTTATTTAGTATATCATATTCATATTCGATTTACGATATTTTCGACTCACAATGGGTTTGTTGGAACATAACCCCATTCCAAGTCAAGGAGCACCTTTACACGAAGAAAAATTTTTATGTACCTGTATGTTCCAAAAACAAAGATGAAGAAAAACAATTTAAATATAAAAACAAGCAAAAACCCAAGTCATAATCCTACCAAGACTACATAATAAAGATGAATACTAATTAAGATAACTTTTGGTAACTGAATTCAAAACAGATACACAGTATATATAAGAAATTAGGTCAGTAAAGGAAGAAACTGATTATTATTCTATATTATTCATTATTCTATATTTTTATGCTTTTGTAAGATCTGTGGCCCATAATCCCTGCTCTACAAGACACTTCCACTGTACTACTTTAAGTGCTTTATTTTGTGCATGTTATCACCAAATGCAGTAAATGCATAAAACATTGATTAAAAAAATAAGAAATAACTAAAGACATAATTAAATTAACTGGAGAGAAATGCATGATCATTAATAAAAAAAATTCTCAAAATAAAAATAAAACATACAAACCTAGGAGGTAGCAGAAGCTGTCCTTCATACACAAGAAGAGTGTCTGGTATTATCTGCTGGTTTTCCAAGAAGGCAATATCTTTTTTGAAACCAAACAAAATTCTGCTAAATGTTTTGGGTATATGCCTCATCCTGACACACACACCCAAAACATCACACAAGAGATCATCATATGCAGAGTACAGAGCAGTCATGGACTGTGTCATAACAGGAACCTTCTTGAAGCAAACATTCCACAAATTCTTCAAAATAAGACCACTCATAGCTTGTGGAATCATCACTAGAAGTGTGCGAAGACAGTGGTATCCTTCAGGAGTCAAAGGCGCTGTTTTCAACAATGTTTCACCTAAATTTTCCAGCCATTGTTTTAAGCTCACACCTCTCACACTGGCTGTCACATCCATGGAAGAGGATTCTGCTGCATTTAAAATACAAAACAAGAGAGCCTCTTGTTTTTCATTGTCAATATTTGTTGATTTTAGCTTCTGAACAGCAAGGCTATTTTTTTCTAATGAAGGGATCTCAGATCTTGACAAAGAGACATTTAACATATGACAAAGCACAATTAGCATCTGATAGGGAAGTACTTTACTTTTGAATTGAGCTGAAAACCCTGAAAAGAATTTATTTAATAAGAACTGGCTAATTTCTAGAGATTCATTTTCAACAGCTGAAACAACAAACATCAGCAAGGTTTCCACAACTGTAGATAATGATTCCTTCGTCTCTTCAGAAAGCAAAACATCTAGAGACTGGGTAAACAGATTCACAAGTTTACTCTTAAACAAATTTTCTGTTACTACTGAGTTAATTTCTTTCAACAACTTTTGCACAATTTCTCTCTTGTTGTTCTTCAAAACAACATTCAGTCTTGCATGAGGCAAAAGGAAATGATCTATAACAGAAAGACATGCACTTGATACGTCCGGCTGAATTCGAAGGTGGGCGCCAGCTTCCAATGTTGCCATCAATGTCAGAGTTACATCAAAGTCACTTTGATGACCCTCAACCAGCCATTGTATGAGTCCCTTAGTGAGAAATATGCAGTGTTCAGCTGAGCGAGTGATGAGAGGAGCCAAGACTGGATTTGACAAAAGCACATGACAAGCAATAATAGCATTCTCACGTATGGTGTCTTCTAAACTACTGTTAATGATGTCCACCAAGGTCTGTGTAAGAAAAAAACAAAAACATATTACTGATATTTTCTGCCTACAATCTGCTACAGATAAGTAACATTACAGTTATACAATAATTACAATTACTGGTACAGTACTGTACTTTCTTATATAAAAAAAATACACATTAAAAAAATTTTTTTTTTAACACGTCGGCCGTTTCCCACCGATGCAGGGTGATCCAACAGAAAGAAAAACCCACTTTCACCATCATTCATACATAATCGCTGTCTTTGCAGAGGTGCCCATATATGACAGTTTAGATACATTACAACCTGCTCAACATACGACCACTCGACCATGTTTTGTATGCAAATGTTCTGGGAAATAAACACCTGTTTGTGTTTCACATAGTACAGTATTTCTCCTAAACTTTACAGTATAAAATACAGGTCTTCCCTCAACATTTGTGTTTTCCACTTCTGCGGACTTCAAAGATTCGCGAATTCCCAGCCACCAAATCATATTTATGTTGAGGGCTTTGAAGGAGATGAACGACATAGATTGAGGCATAAATCCCTACAAAACTCTGTTTGTAGATATGAAGAAACGGTCTCAGTTGCCCATCACAATTTTCTTCACATGAAAGCCTGCCACTACAGTCACATCCCTTTACCCAAGGTCCTATCAAAGCTAAAACCTTGGGTAGTTTCATATTTAGGTTGGTTAAGTACATGAGTGAGAGGGGTTTGATTTGAGTGGGACTTGCATGTGAGTAAATAGAATTATCAAAGCTTATTGTTTGGGTAGCATTGAAAATTGGGTTGGGCATATATTTTGTAAGTGGGATGGATTGTGAAGGACCTGCCAAGTATGGGTCAACAGGACTGCTGCAGTGTTCCTCCTTTCTTATGTTCTTATATAGCATTTATTCTGTTAGTAGGTTGGATTTGTAAAGGAACTGCCAAGTATAGGCCAACAGACCAACAGGCCTACTGCAGTGTTCCTCCTTTCTTATGTTCTTATAACCATACTAGGCAGACTGTTCCACTCATCAACATAATTCTAGGTGTAATATACCGACCTCCAGACTTGGATCACGATACAGGGAGACTTCTTTGGGACGAAATTGTTAGGGCTTCTAGACACAATAACGTAGTGATAGTAGGGGATTTTAGCTTTAGTCAAATTGACTGGAATTCTTTGACCGGTAATCTGGAGTCCAGTGACTCTATGGAAACAGTTCAGGACTGTTTTCTGAAGCAGTGTGTAACAGAGCCTACCAGGAGTAATAATTTGCTCGACCTAATCTTATCAAATAAGGAAACACTCGTAAATAATCTGGAGATCACTGAAGAGCTTGGCACAAGTAATCATAAATCCATTACTTTTAGCATTAACTGGGAATACAAGAATAATGATAATACGGTAAAAATCCCTGATTTTTGTTCTGCCGATTATAGTGGACTTAGGGAACACCTATCTAATCTCGATTGGGGTTATCTAGCTAATGATTTTATTGATGATGATCATACTTACGATTACGAAGGGATCTGCATTTATGATTTTTTTTCTTAACCCTTTCAGGGTCGAGAGGCCCTCTCCTAAACTTGTTCTCAGGGTCGAAAATTTTTTGGAAAAAAAAAATTATTTTTTCTTACGAAATGATAACCTTTTCCCGATCATAATGACACCAAAAGTATGAAATTTGATGGAAAACTTATGGAATTATGCTCTCACAAAGTAGCGGTCTCTACGATGTTTACGCATGGGCGATTTCGCCCACTTTGAGCCCTATTTTCAGCCAATTCCAGTGTACTAGTCGACAAAAATCATAACTATTTCACTAGAACTCCATTTTTTTCTATCGAATGAGTACAAGAAACTGCCCATTTACTGATTTCAACTATCCAGTAAAGCGGTGAGAAATTGGCAATTTTGCCAATTTCACACAAATTTCAAAAGATGTCAATTTCCAAATTTTATTATTATTATTATTATCACACCGGCCGATTCCCACCAAGGCAGGGTGGCCCGAAAAAGAAAAACTTTCACCATCATTCACTCCATCACTGTCTTGCCAGAAGGGTGCTTTACACTACAGTTTTTAAACTGCAACATTAACACCCCTCCTTCAGAGTGCAGGCACTGTACTTCCCATCTCCAGGACTCAAGTCCGGCCTGCCGGTTTCCCTGAATCCCTTCATAAATGTTACTTTGCTCACACTCCAACAGCACGTCAAGTATTAAAAACCATTTGTCTCCATTCACTCCTATCAAACACGCTCACGCATGCCTGCTGGAAGTCCAAGCCCCCGCACACAAAACCTCCTTTACCCCCTCCCTCCAACCCTTCCTAGGCCGACCCCTACCCGCCTTCCTTCCACTACAGACTGATACACTCTTGAAGTCATTCTGTTTCGCTCCATTCTCTCTACATGTCCGAACCACCTCAACAACCCTTCCTCAGCCCTCTGGACAACAGTTTTGGTAATCCCGCACCTCCTCCTAACTTCCAAACTACGAATTCTCTGCATTATATTCACACCACACATTGCCCTCAGACATGACATCTCCACTGCCTCCAGCCTTCTCCTCGCTGCAACATTCATCACCCACGCTTCACACCCATATAAGAGCGTTGGTAAAACTATACTCTCATACATTCCCCTCTTTGCCTCCAAGGACAAAGTTCTTTGTCTCCACAGACTCCTAAGTGCACCACTCACTCTTTTTCCCTCATCAATTCTATGATTCACCTCATCTTTCATAGACCCATCCGCTGACACGTCCACTCCCAAATATCTGAATACGTTCACCTCCTCCATACTCTCTCCCTCCAATCTGATATTCAATCTTTCATCACCTAATCTTTTTGTTATCCTCATAACCTTACTCTTTCCTGTATTCACCTTTAATTTTCTTCTTTTGCACACCCTACCAAATTCATCCACCAATCTCTGCAATTTCCCTCTTCAGAATCTCCCAAGAGCACAGTGTCATCAGCAAAGAGCAGCTGTGACAACTCCCACTTTGTGTGTGATTCTTTATCTTTTACTCCACGCCTCTTGCCAAGACCCTCGCATTTACTTCTCTTACAACCCCATCTATAAATATATTAAACAACCACGGTGACATCACACATCCTTGTCTAAGGCCTACTTTTACTGGGAAAAAATTCCCCTCTTTCCTACATACTCTAACTTGAGCCTCACTATCCTCGTAAAAACTCTTCACTGCTTTCAGTAACCTACCTCCTACACCATACACTTGCAACATCTGCCACATTGCCCCCCTATCCACCCTGTCATACGCCTTTTCCAAATCCATAAATGCCACAAAGACCTCTTTAGCCTTATCTAAATACTGTTCACTTATATGTTTCACTGTAAACACCTGGTCCACACACCCCCTACCTTTCCTAAAGCCTCCTTGTTCATCTGCTATCCTATTCTCCGTCTTACTCTTAATTCTTTCAATTATAACTCTACCATACACTTTACCAGGTACACTCAACAGACTTATCCCCCTATAATTTTTGCACTCTCTTTTATCCCCTTTGCCTTTATACAAAGGAACTATGCATGCTCTCTGCCAATCCCTAGGTACCTTACCCTCTTCCATACATTTATTAAATAATTGCAGAAAAAACAAGACAGACATTCCTGGCACTAAAATAACATTTCCTCTGTTCATTAATCACATCTCCAGGCCCCTCTTACATTTCTTTTGCTTTCTACTTTGAATTTTTATTCTCACAAAAAATAGAAGATTTACTGCTGTGCAGACTACTGCATTGGTGTAGAAATGGTATAAATAATATCAGTGCACTTGTGAAAGAATATTAGACTCACCAGTTGATGAAAATTATTGGACGCCTGGCACGATTTGCTTACTTTTGAACTTTGGCAAAAATCAAACATTTCTGCTACTTTGAGCTCAATTTCAATGTACTTTTCATTGTGAAACCAAAAAAATCATCTCAATTTCTGTAATATGTCTTCCATTCTATTAAAATAAGACCAGGAAAACTAGAATACAACCATAAATACCATACAAAAATACAGTGCAAAGTCACTGTTTTAAACCAAAAACACGGTCAAATCTTTTTTTTCTCATTACGCACTGTGTGCTGCAGGATTTTTTTTATACTGTGCACACTGACCACACAGACCCATTCTTTCATTTGTAGGCCTACCAGATTTCTCTTGCTAGACCTGAAGGTGCTAGAATTTACGCGTACTGGTACATCAATAATCCTGGTGTGTAAAACGTACTAGTACGTCGGAAACCCTGAAAGGGTTAATAATGTACACCGTGCTCAGAGTATATACATTCCCAGAGAGAAATTAAGTCTAATAATAATGATCCCAAATGGGTTAACAGGAGGCTAAAGCATCTATTAGGGGAGAAAAGGGGAATTTATAGGTACATCCGAAGAGGAGCGGTTAACCTTACTGACCAATATGTTCAGCTTAAAAGAGAAGTAAAAAAGGGGATTAGAAAGGCTAAACGTGACTATGAAATTAGAGTTGCTTATGAATCAAAGACCAATCCAAAGGGGTTCCCTCAAGTGTATAGGATGAAGGTGAAGGAAAAAGTAGGACCTCTGAAAATTGGGAATGGACAGCTGACTGATAACGAACTGGAAATGTGTTCTTCATTTAATGACTATTTTTTGTCAGTTTTTGCACAGGAAGACACAAATGAGATTCCAGAAATTAACAATTATTCAGTTCCTGATGAATTCAAATTAACTAATATTACTGTCATGAGGGACATGGTTATCAAGCAGATAGACAAACTGAAGCAAAATAAGTCCCCCGAGGCTCGATGAGTTGTTTTCCAGGGTACTTAAGGAATGCAAGATGGAACTTAGTCAGCCATTAACGAGTGTGTTTAATGCGTCCATCCTTACTGGTGTTGTGCCAGAGTTGTGGAAGATGGCTAAAGTGGTTCCAATATTCAAATCAGAGGCAAGTCCATTCCTTCAAATTACCATCCAATAATCCTGACATCTATAGTGGGCAAGTTATTAGAATCAGTTATAG